GCTTTGCAGCTTTGGCTAGCCAGTCGGACGAGATCGGCAGTCACACTAATAATAGGCACGACAATGCAATCCGAAATGATATATAGATCAGGTGGCTCCTCTCCTCTACCAACTCCTTGTGGGAGGAACAAGCTTCAGGGTCACCTGTCAAGACTCGTTAACAAGCAGAATTGACAGGATCAGCGGTCTCGAGGTCAACTGGAACCTTTCAAAATCAGCACTCAAGAAACGACAGGGTCCATTTCATTAAGCAACAAAGGCAGACTACAAGGCCAACGTTGGTTAACATCATAATCAATCTTCCACAACGACTTCAAACTTCATCAATACATAATCTTGAACAGAACAAATCAAACAAAACTATCCAACAATGCCTTCTCAGTTCTAGAAACAGTGCACACCTAAAAATTATCCTGAAAGAACAAAATGATGCACTTAGAACAGAGATGTTCCCTTTCCCTTCTTGTCTCCTCCAATCTCAAAGTGCTTGCACCTCTGTGGAAATCATTAGCAGTAACAGAAAACATTAGGACAGTTGAGATCAAATGGTACGAAAATCACAACAAGAAAAAGGCCTGCATGGGTAACCTTGATTGGGTGCTGAGACACATGTTTGCATGCCTGGCATTGCAGCCTCAACACAATTTTCTTGGTTGTCTTTGCCTGTTAACAAAAGAGAAAATCAATATCAAAATTCAACTAAGCATGAAAACTAGATATCCATGCAAGGTGAAGAACAAAGAGGAGGCCTCAGAGCTAGTTTGTATGTCTCCGTCATGTGTTAGACAATCAGACAATGTAGGCAAATTCAAATCATCATAGGCCTCTAAAGAGAGAATTCAGAAATAGCAAAATTATAATTTATAGTGGTATAACAAGTACAATGCAAGCTCTTTCCATTTTAATATCAACCACAAGGACAAGAAAAGAAAGGAGGAAGCCTCAGAACTAATTATATGTCTCTGTCATATGTTAGACAATCAGACAATGTAGGCAAATTCAAATCATCATAGGCCTCTAAAGAGAGAATTCATAAATATCAAAAATATAATTTATGGTGGTATAACAAGTACAATGCAAGCTCTTTCCATTTTAATATCAAACATGAGGACAAGGAAAGAAAGAGGCCTCAGAACTAATTATATATCTCTGTCATTAGATGATCAGACAATGTAGGCAAATTTAATCATCATAGGCCTCCTAAGAGTATATACTCTGAAACCACAAAAGGATGTTCTATGGTAATGATAGCATGTACACTGTCGAGACTTCACAATCAAACATCGTGCAGTATTTTTTACAGCCACCAAATACATGCAAATTACAATATAGTGACAAACAAAATTGAAATATTGATCTAAATCCTCGAGGGACTTTTTAAGTATACCAAGTTTATGCAAGGAATAAGAAAACAAACCTTCTTGTGAAACACTGGCTTTGTCTGACCTCCATAACCAGATTGCTTGCGATCATAACGACGTTTCCCCTGAGCAGCAAGGCTATCCTTCCCCTTTTTGTACTGAGTGACCTTGTGCAAGGTGTGCTTTTTGCACTCCTTGTTCTTGCAGTAGGTCTTCTTTGTCTTAGGAACGTTCACCTGTAATACACGTGTCATTAATCAATCAAAGTAACCAAGAAAATAAATAAATTAACCTTGCAGAAAAATTCTCAAGTACCATAACAAATACAATATGCAACAGAAACATGCTTCCATCAAACAAGCAGGAACTCAAACATTAAATTCATTCTCTCTTACTATATTCAAAGTCAGTTAAAACCACCGGCTATGTCTCTGTCATCCACCCATTCATCTCAATCACGCAACTCATAATACTCGTAACCTCCAATCCCACAAGCTCTCCATCCCCAAAAGTTTCCATTCATCTTAAAACCAAACTTTCACTAACATCAGAACTTTTCATACACACAAATCATTAGAAACACAGCTAATCTTCAAGTAAAATGTGTATAAAACCAAATCTCTAACAACACGCACTACTCACTAGACAATACAGTTAACGATCGAGAAACAAATATTCACAAAACTGAATCTCTAACAAAGAAGATGAATTAAACCAATGAATCTAAACTTCATAAATCGCAGTTTCAATCATAACAGAACAAAACTAAAGCTTCCATCGTTATACCGTAAACGACCTCAAAGATGAAAGAAAAAGAAAACCCAGATGTAAAAATCGACCAAAAAGATGTTATAGTATAGAGAATCAGAGAGGTAAAGCCTTGCAGCTTTAGCTAGCCAGTCGGACGAGATCGGCAGTCACACTAATAATAGGCACGACAATGCTATCCGAAATGATATATAGATCAGGTGGCTCCTCTCCTCTACCAACTCATGGGAGGAACAAGCTTCAGGGTCAACTGTCAAGACTCATTAACAAGCAGAATTGAAAGGATCAGCGGTCTCGAGGTCAACTGGAACCTTTCCAAATCAGCACTCAAGACGACTGGGTCCATTTCATTAAGCAACAAAGGCAGACTACAAGGCCAACGTTGGTTAACATCATAATCAATCTTCCACAACGACTTCAAACTTCATCAATACATAATCTTGAACAGAACAAATCAAACAAAATTATCCCACAATGCCTTCTCAGTTCTAGAAACAGTACACACCTAAAAATTATCCTCAAAGAACAAAATGATGCGCTTAGAACAAAGATGTACCCTTTCCCTTCTTGTCTCCACCAATCTCAAAGTGCTTGCACCTCTGTGGAAATCATTGGCAGTAACAAAAAACATTAGGACAGTTGAAATTAAATGGTACGAAAATCACAACAAGAAAAAGGCTTGCATGGCTAACCTTGATTGGGTGCTGAGACACATGTTTGCATGCCTGGCATTGCAGCCTCAACACAATTTTCTTGGTTGTCTTTGCCTGTTAACAAAAGATAAATCAATATCAAAATTCAACTAAGCATGAAAACTAGATATCCATGCAAGGTGAAGAACAAAGAGGAGGCCTCAGAGCTAGTTTGTATGTCTCCGTCATGTGTTAGACAATCAGACAATGTAGGCAAATTCAAATCATCATAGGCCTCTAAAGAGAGAATTCAGAAATAGCAAAATTATAATTTATAGTGGTATAACAAGTACAATGCAAGCTCTTTCCATTTTAATATCAACCACAAGGACAAGAAAAGAAAGGAGGAAGCCTCAGAACTAATTATATGTCTCTGTCATATGTTAGACAATCAGACAATGTAGGCAAATTCAAATCATCATAGGCCTCTAAAGAGAGAATTCAGAAATAGCAAAAATATAATTTATGGTGGTATAACAAGTACAATGCAAGCTCTTTCCATTTTAATATCAAACATGAGGACAAGGAAAGAAAGGACGAGGCCTCAGAACTAATTATATATCTCTGTCATTAGATGATCAGACAATGTAGGCAAATTTAATCATCATAGGCCTCCTAAGAGTATATACTCTGAAACCACAAAAGGATGTTCTATGGTAATGATAGCATGTACACTGTCGAGACTTCACAATCAAACATCGTGCAGTATTTTTTACAGCCACCAAATACATGCAAATTACATTATAGTGACAAACAAAATTCAAATATTGATCTAAATCCTCGAGGGACTTTTAAGTATACCAAGTTTATGCAAGGAATAAGAAAACAAACCTTCTTGTGAAACACTGGCTTTGTCTGACCTCCATAACCAGATTGCTTGCGATCATAACGACGTTTCCCCTGAGCAGCAAGGCTATCCTTCCCCTTTTTGTATCAAGTGACCTTGTGCAAGGTGTGTTTTTTGCACTCCTTGTTCTTGCAATAGGTCTTCTTTGTCTTAGGAACGTTCACCTGTAATACACGTGTCATTAATCAATCAAAGTAACCAAGAAAATAAATAAATTAACCTTGCAGAAAAATTCTCAAGTACCATAACAAATACAATATGCAACAGAAACATGCTTCCATCAAACAAGCAGGAACTCAAACATTAAATTCATTCTCTCTTACTATATT